CCATTTCTCATCCAGGGAAATATAATATTCTGCCTTTTTAATATTTCCCAAAATATTTCACTCTTCCAGGAAAGGAGTGGGTGCTAACCTCCTACAAAAGGCTGTCCTGAAGCTTTAAATTTCTGGCAATGTGATCACAACTTCAAAACAATCTGGATTATGGAATACATTTCTTCATGAATTCTGCTTGCACTCTACTTTTTTTGCCTTCAGAAAATCTCTAAAGATACCTTTCTTCATTCCAGATTTTACATGCCAATGCTTTACAGTTGCTTAATTTATTATTTTTCAGTTTTGCATTTTAAATAGAAAACAATCATAGGTGTTCACTATGAAAAGAAACTGAGCACATAAACCAAGTAAATAAATGCTCTCTCTCTCTCTCTCTCTCCTTGCCTCTCTCTCTCCCTCCCTCCCTCCCTCCCTCCCTCTCTCTCCGTACAACTTAGCTCACTTAAGAAAGAAAAACATGGCACATGACTGTGTGCAAGCTCATTACTTTGATAAAAAACGATTCTTTCTCTGAGATTCTGAAAGGAATTGTTGCATTTTACTTCTTGCTACACTATGGCTTTAAAATGGAACAAAAAGTTAACACAGCATTACTAACAGCCATTGATAACTTTCTCCTCCATGATTCTAAGTCTACTTTGAATGATGAAAGTTAATAGCTGTCACTACACCTTGTGATACTGAATTCGTTGTTAGCTTTGTGCTGGGTGAAGAAGCACTTCCTTTACAATCTTCCATCATTCATCTTCTGTGGATGATTAATCAAACATTTTTCTCTCTCTCCTTTTTCCAAGTCAGGCATAATTTTATATGCCTTCACCAAGCCTCACCACTTACTCATCTCCCCACCCCCATTAAGAAGCTCCTTAATCATTTTTGGTTACCCTTTAATCTTTCTGCCTCTTCAATATTATTTTTGAAAAAGAGAAAGCAGAATTCTGCAGGGTAGGCCAATTTTAGCCCCACTATGGAATTTTATAGCAATGTTATGATATTGGCAGTTTTGTTTTTATCTTTCTTCCTAACGATCCATACCATGGAGGTCGCCTTTTTCACAGTAGGCATATATTAAGACATATCTTGGAACTCTATGATCTCCTTTGTTTACTTCAGCTCAGCTTATAGCATAGATTCAAGGGTCTTTTCCAATCCTTCTTTCTGAAGAATTTTTTTTATCAGAATATACCAGAGATTGAACCTGAGGCCTTCCACGTGCAAAAACATGAGATGCATTATTAAGGTATGATTCTTCTTGGCATTCAGTACTTATTTAAATACATAGTTTTATACAGGTAATTGTAAATTCAGAAAGTTCACAACTGCAAGTTTGCAAACATGCAAGAATAACAAAATAACATAATGAAATACTTCAGTAGTACCATTGCATTATAATACTACCTTTTAAACCTTTATATTGTAATGATATAATCCAATTTAAGTACATAACATTTTTATTACTTTTCATTGTTAATTAAACATCTATAGATTAGGCATTTTCATAATCATTTTAGATGCCTTAGGGTCATAGCATCATCACACCATGAAGTCACCATATAATTGGAAAAATGTGCTAGAAGCAATAGATGAAATAGGCATTGAAAAGAAAAAAATCATTTGAGGGGAACACTTTTGTCTACAACCTCCCCTCACCCACACACTTTACATACTAAAATATTAATTTTGTTAACATTACCACAGCCCTAATATAATCCAGTGGAAGAGTTATATTCATGTCCAGCTGATAAGATCTTATGAACCTCAGTAGATTTGCTATTAAATACTATCTCTTACTAACTCAAATTCCTGTGACATCAGAGCTTGATCCCGATTTTGTTGCAAGTTCTTACTAGCCATTTCAGTTTCCTTTCAGAAGAAAATGTGGAATATAAACAATTTAATGGAATCTTTTTTAGCATATTCAATTACAAAAATGTAATTGATTTTTATCTATTAATGTTAGACTAATTAAACTAATTTTCATTAGTTTAAATTTCATGTTTTGTCTTTGATTATTCAAAAGCTTTTTTCAAATAATTTCTTCTATCAATTTGGCTAAAATTCTGCCACATAACTTTCTTTTACTTTCTTATGCGATTCTTTAAAGTGTGAATAAATTAATGGTTTATCTGAATAAAAAGAATTTCAAAGTTCAGTTATAATATAATAAGAGCTCCAAATTGTTTGTAATTGTAAAAACCTGCTCCTGGATTATTCATGATTAAGTTTTAAGAGGTGCTTTAATATAGTGACCACCTTAAAGTATCTTTAAGGCATCAATCCTTTTAGATGCATCTCTGTTATCTGATGTCAGGCTCTTTCTCTTTCATATGCATACTCACTCTCACACATAGCTATCTGGGATAAGTGGATAAAAATACCTTCCTTGTAAACATTAATTTGGATTCAAATATTAATTCATTAGATTCATAACATTTTTTTTTTCTCCAGAGGGTCAGAGTGTTAATGTACAGTGCATTCAGAAAGTATTCAGATGCCCTTCACTTTTGTCAGTTTTGTTATGCTGCAGCTTGATTCGGCATTGTTGACATTCATTTCTCTCTCTCATTAATCTGCATTCAGTACTACATAAAGACAAAGTGAAAACAGAATTTTAGAAATGTCTGTAAATTTATTAAAAAGAAAAAACTGAAATATCACAATTGGCATAAGTATTCAGACCCTGTGCAACAAGATGTGAAATTTAGCTCTGCTACCTCCCATTTCTCTTGATCATTACTGATATGTTTCTACACCTTGAATGGAGTTGACAAATTGACAAAAGTGAACGTGTGTGTCTGAATACTTTTAATGCATTGTGTGTGTGTGTGTGTGTGTGTGTGTGTGTGTATGTGTGTATAATAGTCCCTCCTTCAATTGTTTTCACAGCAATACCCCTTATTGTAAGGTATATTGGGCTGATTGTTCCAAAAGCCAACAAGGGAATTTCCATTACTGAGTATGGATTTGACATATAAAATATCAGAGTTGGTACCTTATTGCTTAGTGTTCTACTTGGAATGCTAGAGAAAGAACTTTGACCTATCTGGGGAATAGAATCTATTTATTTATTGGCCATTCAGTGCACAGTCTACAGTATAACAAGTAAGGTCAGATATTAAGCATTGGTATGCTTGACTCTTTTTTTTAAACAGAGTATCTTCCTTTTTAGCTGAGCTGGTTCCCTGAATTGTTTTATCTTGCCAGTGAGGTAGTTTTAACATGACACCTTTAATTGTTTCAAATGTCAACTTGCTACTACTTTGTTTACAGGGCTGTGTGGAACCTCTCCAGGATTGTGTATAAGGGGAATGTTGCAGGAAATTTTCCCTTTTAATGAGGTGTGAAAATATACAATAGATGAGTCGCAGCTGGGTGTCATTGCCAAATCACCCATTGTAAATTAAGCTGCTTTTATGAGGAAGAAGGTGTTTCACTACTGGACAGTTTTAGAGCCATGTCTAAGAGATTGAGCTACTATATATATATATATATATTTAAAAATCTGATTTCAATTTAATTTCTTCCATGGACTCTCTAAAGAGCCTTAAGCTCCCATCTCTTATCTGCAAAATAGGATTATTAAACATATCATCAAAATATAGTACATAGCAGGAGTGCATTGAATACTGCAAATGTACTGCACTGAAGCACATGATCATCAAGATTGTAATATTTGAGAGAATTCAGAGAGATTGGTGTAGCGGGTTAAGGTACTGGCCTAGAAAAGTGCTACACAGAAGTACATCATCATCATGGTTGTCACATTTGAAATAGATAAGAGAGCCAATACTGTCTATTGATTAAGGCACCAGGCTAGAAAACAGGAGATCATGAGTTCAAATCCTTCCTTAGCCATGAAAGCCAGCTGGGTGATTTTGGGCCAGTCATTCTCTTTCAGCCCAACCCACCTCATATGGTTATTGCTGTGGAGAGAAAGAGGAAGAGGAAGGAATATTGTACATATTCACAGCCTTTAATTACTTATAAATTAATAAAATGACAAGACATAGCTTATCTATTTACTTTAAAAACGTAACTCATGAAATGCCAATTATAATTAAGAATGAGTGATATCAGTAGAGTTGTTAATGTCAGAGGTATTCAGCAGAATGAAATGATGTTCTTGTACTGTACAATTTTATAAGTTGAAATCTCAAACTGAGTGTTTCTATACATGAAAAATAAAAATAAGTGCAAATAGAAAAATAGAATGGTACAGAAGAAAGCCATAAAATCCAGATTTCTGATTTAGTTGTTAATGCACAAGAGAGATTTGAGAGGGCCAAGTGGCATGCCATGATACTACATGGGTAGCCACAAACAATCATCCAGCTCCCACTCCAGTTAAAGGGGCATCCAAAAAGAAATTTTCCAATATTAAAGACAGAAGTAATTCAAAATATCAGCTCTACTCACTAAGCTGAATACCCAGGAGATATATGCTTTTTAAAATTTTGCTTCTTCTATGACTTTGATCCTTTGATTTGTAGATTTGACTGTATGGAAAATGAGTTTTACAAAAAAAAAAAAAAAAAAAAAGAACTCCAGTTCTGGAAAAACTTCCCATTTGGTTGAGTCAAGTGCTTAAACTGAAGCTGAATATTCATAGGTTAGGATGTGAAACCCAACAAACCAGAATCAGGAGACCTAAGTAGTTTTGGGGCAGACTGGACAGCAGAGTATATTCAGAATTTCTCTATCCAAGAAATCTTGGGAAGTCCTTAGGTATCTCAAAGTGTGTGACAAGAAAAGTAGCAAAAAAAACAAAAACAAAAAAAACAAAAAACCATGTTGTCCACAATACACATGAATCTGCATGGCAGATCAAGACAGCAAATCAAAACATCTGAAGTTAATGTAAATGGGCACATAAATAGGCAGGTAAGGTTAGAATTACATGTTTTGAGTGAATGCTGTTACGTTTTTGTTTTTATGTATGTTAGACTGTTGGACTGCTTTTCTCTTTGGCCACTAGGTGGCTTCTTGCAAGCTAAAGGCAAAGTGGTGTTTGTGCGTATGTGTGCTGGGGGTGGCGGGCACCTCCAAGCTGCTGAAATTGAAGAGAAAGGAAACACGAATGCAAAGGGGTGAGGATCAAGTAGCTGCATTAAAGCTCCTGGCTCAACACAATGATCTGAGAGGAGAAATATGAAGCAATGAGGGTTTAGAGGAGATTTGTCCCAGCTGAGAGAGCTGGCTGACTCCTACACTTCCCATTTACCTGATTCTGCTCCCCCTTATCCCCGCCTCCAGCTTTGCTTCTTGCCGGCTTCTCTCTCCTTCAATGGAGAGAAGACGAGTGGCGGGTGGAAGAGGACAGACCAGGAGCTGGGTGATCTTTCAGTCGTGAGACTCAATAGACAGCCGGACAAGGAACACTCCTGTTCTCAGCTGGGCTTGGCGCTTCTCTTTCCAACCTCGGTAAGTCCACTGTCACTTGTTATATTTCGCATTGCTTGGGGTTTGCTTGTTTCAGCACCAGGGAGAGCGACGCAATGGGTTGCCGGCGCGCGCTCTCTTTCCTCCCCAGCTTCCTTTTAGGATCCTGGCAAGCAAGATTGCCCTTGCTGGCTGACGCAGGATACCGGAGGCAGGTGTTTCTGTGTGTTTCAAAGAAAAAACGGATGCGTGGGAAACTGTCTAGGATCTCCTAGATGTGGAGGAGAGTCCTTCATTTAACTCCTCCTGACGATGAAAATGTTACTGGGTTCAAGTTCAGCTTAGATCTAGGGGCTGATGAGTGTGTGTGTGTGTGTGTCTTGGTTAGTTCATGGTTTTTCTGTATTGCCCTGCTGATGAAGTAGGATGGGAAGTGTCCAGATTTTCAGAACTCCATCCTCCGTGTGCAGAGTTGGCAGAAGAAGATAATAGGGAATGCAGTGGAGGAGTAATCATTCTGGTGTGCAGATTGTATAGGTGGAGAGGGAGTTGTAGGGCACTAGTTACTGAGGAACACCTGTATTTTCCCCTGGAAATGTGAGGCCTTGCTGCACTTTGTTTTGCCTAGACTTGTTAAAATGAGATTAAATTGAGTCAACTTGCTCTCAGTGCCTGCTGGGAATGCAAAAAGCATCAGGGAAAATGCTATTTTTTGCATGCTAAATGGGCAACATTGTCTACAGAAGGATACAATAATCAAAGGCCATCTTCCTTGCTATTTAATTTTGAACTCTGCTGTTATAACTCTTGCCCTACTTTCTGTCATATGCTTTCTTAAACCCCATTTTCCCAAATATTTATGCTTGCTAGTTCTAGAAGAAAACAATAATGTTTTGCAGATAAATGGACTGATAATATGTAGCTATCTTTTCCTTTCCCACTCCTTTCATAAAATGATCTATATGGAGAATCAGGTTTAAAAGAGCTTTTACATTCATACAAAGGAAATGTCTTTGTTCCTTTAAATTGCTACTTTCCCATTCATTCCATGACCTATGCTATCTTTATGGCTTCTCTCAACTCCAAATGTAATTTGCTATGTGACATTCATAGGGTCTGCTGTCCAAGAAAAATGAATCTGAAACTTGAGTTTTCAAGTGTCATTTCACAGTTCTTCAGATATTGTTTTTGTTTGTCCTGTTAACTATTACCAAATGCAGTAAGGAATCTGCAAATCAACTTGCATTGGTTTGAAACTTTCCTCCTTCCCAATTTTGTTTTCTGAGTTATGTGCCTTAGAAATCATGATATAGACTCAAATATCAATTTTCCTGATTTATGAATGTGAAACTATTCAATTCTATTATCCCTTAGCCAGATCCTTCCTGTTTCTTATTGCTTGTTTTTGCACAGAGAAAGCTGCACTTCTTTGATCAATATTTATCTCTCATTTGTAGTATGTCTTTTTCCTGAAACAAGGTGCTCAGAATGGCAATTGACTTTGTGGGATTAAGTCCTATTTTTAAAAGAAAAAAAATCAAATCAATATTTTTGTGTTATAACTATATCTGAAGTCTTGATGCAGCTTTTTTTTCCCATCATGTTTGTGACACAGGTGGGGTCTACAGTATTTCAATAGCTCTTCCTTCCTTGGAAATACTAACAAGAAATCAGATTTCAAATTGGTCATATGAGACCTTTATTCTTTTCAATGTATTAATAGGCAGTACGTTTCTGAGATGCAAAACAATTTTTTGTCAGCAACACAAACAATATACTGTACTCAGAAAAGTGCACAGCTATAGCAAAGGCTGAAGGAAAAGTTCTATGGAGATCAAAAACTTGCTGTACTAGCCATGAATTTGATCTAATCTGACATCTACTGAATCCATCCTATTGATCATGTGAACATGATAGGCACAATGAAATGAATCATGATTTACTGAATTTACCTAATTGCCTGTGTTTACAAAAGATATCAAACAATAAAGTAACCACATTGAATGGGCTGGATTTACATAAACTAGCATATTGTGCAAACCCAGTCAGTAGCAATTGATAATAGGAGTTAAAACAAAGTGCTCCCAAGACTGTTCTATAAGATAACATCATATGCTACCTACCGAGTCCCTTTACTAATAACCACTACTTCGTGTTTTATCAATATTTATGATGGAATTTAAAATAAATCATCCCCTATATAAATAAATCATTTAGAGGTGATTTAATTTTGTTAAAATGATTCCATTTTCCTTTTGTGTAGGCTATATAGAAATTTGACATTGTTCTGTCAAAGCAAACTGAACAGTCTCTGGGATTCTTAAATATGAGCAAAAATTAAGCTTCAATTTCATCGAAGAGGTTAAAGGAGTGATTGTAGCTTTGAGACCAATCAGCAGTTTCAGGATTCTGTGCATTCTTTAGTCTTGATTCCTTCTTTGATATAGCATTAAACCACCCTTTTTCTGTTCTGAAACTTCCCTGATTATTTATGACAATGGTTACTATAAAAGCAGCAAAACTCTGAAAACCAAGATAATCAAATGAAGAATACAGTAGATTGAGATAAGAAGCTGACTTTTTCTTTAAAAAATTTGAAATATAAATAGTTTTCAGCACTGTGGACTTAAGCATTAAGTCAATATTTAGCAACAGAATAAGAGATGTGGGATAAAACTAAAAGTACATTTTGAAAGAGTGGTTTCATAACAGTGGTAAAGGAGAAGCTTTCAACTTGTGTGCTAGTGAACTGTAAATTCTCTGGAAGCTTATCATGTATTCATACTCAAAGAACTAAGTGGAATATCCCTAGATATCCTGTATTTTGTGATAAAATCTGTAAAGGGGATTTATCATCTTAATGAAACTACATTGTATATTTATTTATATTTATGCATTGGCACGGCCTCCTCCTTACATCATTTCCCTCTTTCTCTGTTTTTCCTGTTGTTTTTCCCATGCACTTTACTGTGCTTCCCGATGTCTTTCAAAGTGCCTCCTTGTTGTCTAAAATAGTATGAGAAACATATTAAATATTGTGTATCTTTACATAATATAAGTAGTACCAGCTGGTCAGATTATCTGTTCAACAGAATTATGAAATATTAGTATCTTGTATTATTTGTATATACTATTGGTTTTCTGATTTAATTGCCACAAGTTGGTTTGGAAATTAATGTTTGGACACAAAGCGCAATCAAACTGTAACTAATGAATATCAGTAATGGCAAGCAAGCTTCTCTGAGAAACAGCTTGCTAATAACCTCCATCTCTCTCTGCAATGCCCAACTACAAAGGAAAATTACATTTACATTCATCTGTGGTAGCTGTATCTCATATTTTTTGATGAGTGAGGGGCTGTAACATACTTTCATAATCATCTGCAAATCTTAAACTTTCCATGGAAGTTGTGCACCGATTTACCTGAAGAAATGTATAAATACTAATAGTTCAGGATGCTTTAAAATTGCATTAACCTGGCTTTTGTTAGATTCTAATTCTGTAGCTAAGTGGTACAAAATTCAACAGCTTGAATTTTCGATGAGGTAAAATAAGAAAGAGAAATTCTGTCTAACTCAAACCCTACAATCATCCTAAAATGATTGGTCTAATCAATAGTACTTTCTGAGATATTAGAAACATGAACATGGGAAAAAAGTTTTTCCATTTCTGTGGAAAAGCCTAAAATAGAACTCCAACAAATCACAAATGAAGTTGAGATTTATTTCTATTTCTTATTTTACCTCACCTAAGATTCAAGCTTTTATATTTTGTATTACTTAGCTACAGAATTAGATTTTTGCAAAGTAAATGTTAATGCATTTTAAAGCATCCTTAACAATTAGTTTTTATACACTTCTTCTAGGCAAATCTGTGCACAACTTCCATGGAAATCTTAAGATTTGCAGATGAAAATATTTCATAGTATACCTGTTTTAAAATTTCTACATCTGAATTAATATTAAGTAACTTTCTCAAGGAAAAACGAGAGAGAGGAGACAGAAAAATATACAAACACAACACACCCACATAAATACTCCAAGATTTCCCTCCCTAGAATTTTGCTGTATTTGATTAGCTTAAGTAACAGACTTCACATTTTATCTGTTTAATCTTCAGATTCCTATCACTGGAGTAAGCAATGGGTTTCGGGAAGTGGAGCGCTGTTATAAATGACTTAAACTCATATATGAATGCAGCTATTCACTGACCAAACTCTTGGCAGGAAGTAGCAGAGTGTAAAGCATTTTCCAAAAAAAATAAAAAAATAAAAAAATGCTGTCATCAGGTGTTTTGGATTGGTGTGCATACGTGTTCAGCTTCTTTTCTCTTCCATCTTACTTTTAAAGATATATCTTTATTCTTTTTTAAATCTGTGTCTTCTCAAGAGGGGTTCTTTTCAACTCCCACATTACACAGTAAGTCTAATGAATGAGTGGTGTGGTGGCCTAGTGATAAAGACACTCACCTCCTACTTGGAAGATTGAGAGTTCAATCCTAGGTAGTGGCAGGTGCTTCTCTCTCAGGGCGCAAAGAAAAAATATCTGCTGCAAACTGCACATAGACATCAGGAAGGGCATCTGGCACTCAACTCCATTCAGTCGCCCTGATTCTACCCTGAATTAAAGGATTATAGGGTCATGAAAAGGGAGTTTAAAAAGGGAGGATGGCTAAAGAACATCATAGACTCTGTTTTAAGTAGAATTTTTTCTACAACATCTGTACTTTCTTCTAATAATCTAATGAAGATTTTTCTGTAACTCAACCCCTGAATTTAATAACAATATATATTACTTTTACACTGAAAAACTGCCACATATGATGATTACATTGGCTTGTGTTTAATTCCATATATAAATTGTGGATTATTGCAATTAATCACCAGAACATAACCTCGCTCCATGCTGAACAAATGTCTAAATCTATCATTATACAATCTATATAAATAAAAATGTAAATGTCTGTTTGTACATAACCGCACATCTCCGAAAGTTCTTCACCGATTGCTTTCAAATTTTGACACAATGTTGCATTCGACTACG